GCTGATATACAAGTATTCAGGATACAACTGGAATGAAGGGTTTCCTCATCAGGTTCAATAGATTAAAGCACAGACCCATTTACCACCTTTCTATACCAACCATTTATTTACGTGAAAGCACCCATCAAGTTGCATCATCAATAGGAAAGCTTCCTTTCAAAGTATACAACCCCACTCACTTACACTCTCCACCCCTAAGCTTCATCCAAACTCCATGCATAATCTAGAGATTGTTCACCTTCATCCAACGCAAACAAGAATGTCGAGGACATCATCACGGCCAAGAGCCCAGTTGTAACAATGTCGCAGGCACTATTTCTGTTTATCGTTATTTTTGTTAACATGTTCCTTTTTCTTTCCCTCACCAAATGTGTTCCACTTTTTTAGATGCTGTCTACAAAGTGTTTCTACTATCCATGTTTGCTGAAATAGTAAGCTACAATGAACAAACGGGAATTGGCAGTGTGAATATGCAGCTATTTCTAATCTACAATAATCCTTGCACAAATACACAACACCAGTTGCTGAGGTAGAGTTTTAATCACTTGCGCATTTTGATTTGCATTCTTTTCAGAGTCTAAAATGATTCTTCACGTATAGCTTACTGAGGATTGCCAAAAACAAGGGATTTTAATGCTAAAATGTAGCTTTCAATTGGAGTTTAACAATCTTGCTGTTAGTAAGAAAGTTGCAGGAGTCAACTGACGCAGTGAGATTTTTGCCTTCTCTAGGAGCAGACAAGAGACAACATTCAGTACAATATAGATCCGAGATACTTGACTTATAATGAGTCAGTCAGGGATGTACTAATGACAGAAAAGACACCATTCCAGAGTTGGTGTTTAACTTCTCTGATATGCCTGTTGGACACAACATCAACAACACCAGACAAAATAAGATGATGATTTACCAAGTCCGATACTGAAGAGTGTTCAAGTGTGACCCAGTAAGCATACCATAATGAAACCATACACCAGAACACAAAGACATAGCAGCCAACAAGTGCAAGCAAAACATGAAATTATATAATTCCAACACAAAGGTCCTCTAGGCACACATTAAACTAACAAATTGAAGAAGTTAGTTTCAAAGATTCAACACAGATAGTCCCCCCAAGTGTGACCCAAATAAACATATCATAATGAAACAGTACACCAGAACATAAAGGCAACACCAACAGCCAAAAAGTGCAAGGAAAAATCGAAATTATATAATCCCATAAATAGGTCCTCTACCAATAACCACAAACCTAAATAAACCAGGCACATATTAAACTAACAAATTGAAGAAGTTTGCTTTAAAAATCCAATCCATAGCCATATTTTTTTCACAGAAACAGTTTGGATATTCTGAAACCAGTTTTAAAGCTAGTTTAAGTTTAAAACCGGTTCAAAGACCAGTTTCAAACCAAAGACCCTTTTCAAACAAGTTTTAAACCAAAAAAACATTTGTTTTTGCCTCCATATATCTATTAGAATTCTGCTAATATTGGAGCGTGTTATGGTTCAATTCAAAGTAAATTGGGATTGTATGACAAGCAATTATATGTTTTATTAAATAAATTGGACCCAGTAAAATAATCCAATCCATCCACTTCAAGAGAGCATTAACTACTCCATTCACTACATGCACCAGATAGCTAGATATTTCATGTATGATCTCACAAGAATCAAATAAACTTTCAGCGCACATGTTAAACCCCAGCAGTCAAAATACAAGAGAAACAGAATGTACAGACATAAGTGCTCAAAACAAAACAATTTCCGATGAGGCAAGTACGGCGGCACTGACTAGAGAACTATTTTTCAAATCATGATACTATTTTCTTTCTATCAAATTAAACCATTTGAATAATTTACTTACAAAATGTATGCTTGTTTCTCTGCAATACACTTCTACAAGTAGAATAGAATGTGCATTTTGACAGTGTGCCATCATACTACTCTGGTAGCATCACATAAACATTAATGATTTAATATGATGGCCCAATTAGTATAATATTTCTATAGGGCGAGTTTGTAGCTTTGCAGAATATAAAAGTTTACTTAACTCATTTCCCTTACTCCCTCACCTATTACCCCTCCTCAGGTTTCTCTACTCGTATGCTTTTTGCTTCTTCCATACATTAAATGTGAATGGGTCTATGTGGTGTAAATGGCACACTAATTGTCACAGTTCTTTTATAATTACGCGCAATCTTAACTACCCAACACGTCTGCCACACCTATATGGTCAGCATGACAGTCAAATTCAATTGAGCTTCTTTAGTTCCTCTTTTCCTTATTAAACCAAAAGTGAAAATTTGCTATTGAGTCACGAGATTTGAAGTGAAGTGAATGAATTAAAAATAAACTAATTTATTGTATCGGCAAGGATGAATTTGTGAGAAACCATCATTCACGCCTACTGATTTTACAACATTTTATTCACACACAAGTAAATACAAAAGAAAAAGTACAATATCGTGCTCCTCCTACACAAATTTCTGTCTGTAAGGTTCTCAATTTTATCTACAACCTGTAACCCAGGTTAGTAATAAGGTGGAAGAAGGGGCAAATGAGACTTTTGGCGAGTTAGTTATGGACAACCACGTAGCAGAGGACACGCGGACTGTGGTAATGGGAAGAGGTGCACGTGTCAAGAAAACAAATTCACGATTGAGAGATTACGTATGTGAAATTAGTTAATATATAGTGGCCATGTGCAAGGAATGCGGGGGGAAAAGTAGAATCTCTCTCTCTCTCTGGTGGTTGTCTTGTCTTTTTCCTCTATACGTCTTGTTCTTTCTGGTTCTGGAAATTTTACATTCTTGTTCGTCTCTGGATCTATTGCAGCAATAATATTTTCTCAGTGCAGTTTTGTTCAGCTGCATTTTTTGGAAATTATTACTTTATTACAGCGTTGCTTTCATTAACCATGCCCGATAATACGTGCCTAAAGGAACTTTCAGCTGATATCCAACGTCTTTTGGAACTTATGGAATCAAGAAATGCGGAGTACAATGTACGATTTGAAACAATTGAATCTGCCATGGGTACCTTGATCAAACAAAATGCTAAGATTATGCCAACTCTAGCAGTGCCATGCAGCAACAACATGTGAAACTCGATTTTCCTTAATTTGATGCAACAGATGTGTTACAATGGATTTGGATTTTAAGACAGAACAATTTTTTAGCTATTATCGTACTCCAAATGATCAAAAGATTGACTATTGCTGCCATTCATCTTGACAAGGAAGTTGTACAATGGTTTCAAATGCAATCTCGTCTTAATCCTTTTTAGTCATGGATAGCATTCACCAGAGCTCTAGAGCTCACGTATGGGCCTTCACCTTTTGAGTGCACAAGGTCCAATTTGTTTAAGTTGATTCAAGATGGTTTAGTTGAAGACTATTATGTCAAGTTTACTACCTTAGCTAATCGAGTGCAAGGAATCACTTCTGATGCGTTGATGGATTGCTTTGTCGATGGATTAAAACCGGATATCAGAAGAGATGTTATTACCCAATCACCAACTACATTGTTGAGATGTGTCTCTCTCGCTTAACTGTATGAAGAAAAATATGCTACCAAGCCTAAACAGTACCCACTAACTTATAATCGTAGTCCACAAGCCACCAACACAACCTTTTCTCTATCCCTAAAATCTTCCAGCCTACCTCCTCTTTTACCTAACCCTTCTAAAACACCTCCCATCAAGAAAAATGACACCATATGAAATGCAGCTTCGCCGGAAAAAGAACTTTTTTTACTTGTGATGATAAGTTCTCTCCATCTCATAAATGTCCTAACAAACAATATCTCTTGATGCAATTAGAAGAATAGGAGATTCTTCAACCTGAAACGGACCTTTTGAATGGCACAGTTAATGTTCATTCACATACACAGGTTCAACACTATTTATCCTATAATGCTTTAAAGAGAGCTTTTGGTTAGGCACAATGCGATGCCAAGGATTAATAAATGGTATGAAGGTTCAAATTCTCGTTCATAGTGACAGCTCAGACCATTTTTTACAGCCAAGGATTGCTCATTATTTGAAATTACCTATTGAACCTATTCCTGAGTTTAAAGTGTTGGTTGGGACCGCACATGCCTTAGTGGTAGAAGGCTTGGTTAGACAGCTAGAAGTTAAAATACAAGGCCACTCTTTAATTCTTCCAGTTTATTTATTACCTGTAGCAGGTGCAGATTTGGTGCTAGGTGCTTCTTGGTTATCAACTCTAAGGCCTCACATTTTCTAATTATAGCAATTTAACTTTGAAGTTCTACTGGAACAATGAATTCATCACCCTCCAGGGAGAACAAAATCAATTACCGAGTCAAGCTCAATTCCACCAATCGCAAAGGCTACAACAAACAGAATTGTACTCCTTGCATTTTGAAATTTCGCCCGACCCCAGGATCAGTGGCCGGAAATACCAACATCTATGGAGCCTAAATTGACTATTTTGCTGCAAACATATAGGAGGGTTTTTGCTGTTCCATGTGGCCTACCACCTATCAGGGTGCATAATCATTCTATTCCTTTGATACAGGGTGCAGGACCGGTTAGAGTTAGACCTTATAGATACCCACATAGTCAAAAACAACAAATTGAGAAAATGGTGCAGGATATGTTACATGAAGGCATCATTATTCCAAGCACAAGTTCCTTCTCATCTCCTATCATCTTAGTGAAAAAGAAGGATGGTACTTGGAGATTTTGCACAGAGATTTTTTGCACAGAGGACTTTGAATGCTATCACGGTGAAGGATAGTTTCCTTATACCTACAGTCGATGAGTTAATTGATGAGTTACATGAAAGGATAGTTTCCTATACCTACAGTCGATGAGTTAATTGATGAGTTACATGGAGCCAAATATTTCTCTAAGATGGAGCCAAATATTTCTCTAAGTTGGATTTGAGATCAGGCTACCATAACATAGCCAGCAGAATTAAAGGAAAAAAAATAAAAAAGTAAATAACAGGATTTAAACATACATCAGTGCTAGGGATCATGCATCAGCACCATCGGAGGCTTTTGCAGCAAAAGGATCATGAGTTGGACCAACATCCTGGCCAATGTGGCGTTGCACAAGGCGCTGCAGATCAGCCATAACCTTATGCTCCCTCTTGGCCTTCTCTTCATAGTTAAACATAGCCAAAGCACGCTTATCCTCAGCACTGTAAACCTGGTTTTCTTTCCTGATACGAATGGCATTCATCCTCTGGTGCCTACTACCACTCATCACATAACCAAGACTCTCAAACTTCTGAATCTCCTCCGCAGAAAGACCCACTTCTCCTCTTCGAGGAATCCGCTTCCCTTGTTGAACATACTGTGCAATGGCATCACCTTCACCGGGCCTAAGCGCTCCACCGTAACTTATATGTCCCTCAGCTCTCGGCAATGGCATTGGCCCAACAGAGGGTTCGTTATCTAAAGCGGGTTTCTTCTGAGACTCGAACAATTCCTTTAACTTTATAGCCTCCGCATTAATCTCCGTGTTCAACACCTCATCAATAGTAGCTTTAATCTTACCATCACCAGAACCGGAGCCATTCTCCTCCTCCGAATAAGCACCCTCGCTTTCCGTCTCAGAACTTTTCTTTTTTCCTTTTCTGCTCCTTCGGCTAATCTTCGATCGAGACCTTGAAGCAGAAGAACGGTTCGTCCTCTTTCCCCCGCTGCTGTCAGAGTCACCACTCTCGCTCTCTTCGCTTTCATCTGAATCGCTATATCTTCTCTTCCTGCTGCTCCTGTTACTTCTTTTTCTTCTATTTCTCCTACTCCTTCGTCTGCTATCCTCTTCTTCTGATTCCGATTCAGATTCTGATCCACTTTCACTACACGACCTCCTTGAAGAACCAGCAGAACTCTTCCTCCTCTTCTTCCTCCGGCGCGAATCGTCTGATTCACTGCTAATAGACTTATCAGATTCAGAATCGGAATCAGATTCCGATTTCAATTTAGCTATTGGTTTAGCCTCCTTTTCGACCTTCCCAGCGATGTCGTCTCGGTCAAAGATGTCATCAGGTTTGCTATAATTCTCCAGATCGTCATTGTCACACCGCGGAGGACTCGGCGTGACGTTCCAGATGCAGTGTTTCAGCAATTTCCTCATCTTCTGGCGCTTGAGCCTTCGGTATTCCTCGTAACTCAAACCCTTCAACTCCTCGTCAGACTCGGAATCGGAACGCTGCCAATCCTCACGGTCACGGTCTAGATACGCGCCGTTTCGGTGACCAAATTTCTTCGGCAGAGCATTGTCGTTGGCAGTTCCATTGGTGTGTCTAGGGTTTCTGTGTGCAGGCGAAACCGAACGGCGGCGCCGGCGGTCCGTGGGGCGGTCGTAAGAGTCATAGCTGGGACTGCGACGGCGGCGATACTCGTTGGAGACATCGGATTCCGGTGAGCGGCGAGCGTTAAATCGGTGGCGTTCGTGAGGGATTTCGATGGTTGAGGATGGCCTACCCATCGCCGAAAGAGTGGTTGGAGCAATTGTAACACGCTTACTTGTAGGTGTGACCCGGTCCTGCGAACCCAATCAACCCAATCCAACTTTTGTGTATTTCATTAGATTATTGGGTTTGATTATACTTTTTTATTACATTTGATTAAAATTAAATTTGGGTGGGATAAATTTATAAATTCTAATTTTGATAATGGTTTAAGTATTTCAATATTTAATCTTTCTAAGTGTGTTGTAGTTCAATTTAATAAAATGATTCTATTAATTGAATTTTGTTTATATAATACGTAAACAAAATTAAAAAATAAAATCACACCTACTTTCTTCACATAAATTAAGATGTTTATTACTGTTTATATAAGAACTCGGTTTTGAATAATTCGAATCCCATGCAAATTTCTTTTAAAATTATAAATTTTTATAAAAATATTAAAATAAAAAAGTAAATTATTTATAAAAAATAGTGTTTAATAATATAATAAAATAATATTTTTAGAAAGTTAATAAAATTCTAATATTATATTATATATTAATATTTTTTTGAAAAAAATAATATTTAAATAATATAAATAAATATTAAATATTAAAAAACTTCAAAATATTTATAAATAATTATTATCAGTATTAAAAAACAATCTCAATATAAAAATATTTAATATGAAATAGAATTTACGTAAATATTGATATTGATAAAGAAATTAATATTTATTGAAAATTTTGAATATCATATTATAAAAATTGGATTTGAAGATTAAGATGTTAATATAACTTATATTATTATGTTAAAATTTTTAATAATAAATTTTTAAATTAATTATTAAAATAAAAAATATAAATTATCGAAGTTAATTTATGATAAATTATATTAAATGTAATAATTTAAAGTGTTGAATAATAAAAATAGAGGATAAAGCGAAGGAAACAAAATATAATAGATTCGATAGCATGTAAACATCATTGAAATAAAATCAATAAATATTTGAAGAAAATTACAAAACAAGCTTAAAGTTTATTACTTTTAATTAGTCTATAGTTTTTTTTAAATGATTGTTTATATAAAAGTATCTTCTAATTCATAAAGAATTTCCTATTTTGTTAGCATGCATGAATATTTGGTTTGGATAAACATTTTAATATTGTCTAGCAATTCTTCACATAATAAGTTTGGGTGAAGTGCTTTTATTTTTATTTTATTTTTTCATTTTTGATCAAATGTTATTTTTTATTTGTACTAAGTCATAAATGATGTTTTCATTTATAAATTGAAGTAGACATTAATAGTTAATTTATATTTTTTGTGTTATAAATTTCATCGTTTAATTTTTTGACAATCTTTTAAAATGACTAATTAAAAGATCAAGTATGTTAAACTACCACTAATATAGTGTCAAATATTCGTATATAAGTGAAAATAATGAGGGGAGATTGGTGGAAATGTCCATATATTTCTAAGAGATTATTTTGATGATGATTCAAGTTAACTATATTCAAGTCAACACCATTCAAGATGAATTAAGGACAAGCTGAATTTAAGAGGTTGGTAACAATGTGAAACATTTTTTTATATGCTCAAGATATGTTTTTGATAAAGATTTTATTCAACATACAAGCAAGTCCAAGATGATTCCTGAAGACTAGATAAAGTCTTAGAATATTGGATATGGAGGTACAAGTTGATGAAGTAATATTATGCATAAGCCTCCAAAACACAAGTGTGATAAAATTCATAATATGATATTTTTCACTGTCATAATAAGTTATTGTGCATCATAAATGGAAAAATTATTTCCTCTATCATAATTGATTATACTGGTAACATAATCAATTATGGCAATTCAAATTTGAAAAATATATCTGTTTTGAAGAATAAATGTTTTTTAATATATCCTGATTTTTATTTACGAAAATATTAATGTCCAACGACTATTTTCTGATGTTATTTTTCTATTTAATTAAGTTTTGATGAAAAATAAAAAATACACAATTACAAAATTCGAAAATACAATTTACATTCAATCAGTTTTGAGAAAAGAATTCTGAGCAAGGCAACAAAGATATTTTACACCTTCTGAGAAAACTCTCTTCTCTACTGTCTTTTGTACTTTCATTGTTAATAACACTTGTTCTTGGAGATTGACATTCTACAAGCTTCTACAATTTGTTGTCTCCATTACCCAGATGTGACTGTTCTTATCTTACTCCTTCATCCTTTGTGGGATTAGGAGGTGTTTTCATCCCTTTGATTTGTTCAAGGAGGTGTTCATCCCTAGTGTGATTCTAGGGAGGTGTTCATCCTTAGTGGGATTCTAAGGAGGTCTTTTTTATCCTTTGATTTGTTCAGAGGAGGTGTTCATCCCTAGTGGGATTCTAGGGAGGTGTTCATCCTTAGTGGGTTTCTAAGGAGGTGATTGTCTTTTTAATTAGTTTACTTTTTACTGGTTCTTCTGCTGAGTTGATTGTAATTTGTAAACTGAATTTGAAAGATAGTGAATTGAGAGTCACTCTTGTGTTAAGAGTTGATTGGGAAATGGATGTAGGGTTGGCTATATCCGAACCAATATAAATCACCGTGTGCTCTTCTCTTTCCCTTATCTCTTTCTCTTTTCCTAATTATATTATCGTTTCCGCTTTATCTGTGTTCAAACAAATTATTGACTCACAAATAAATTTTTAATTTGACATCTATTAAAATTTGTGCATCTATTCACCCCTCCTCTAGATGTCATTTGTCTAACAAGTGGTATCAGAGCTTGGTTAGATAAGATATTTCTAAATGATTTGTCAAGATGTCTATGCAGAATCAGGTTTACAGGGAAGGATCCTCAATAAACAGACCACCATTATTTGAAGGAGAAGACTATCAGTTTTGGAAAGCAAGAATGAAAATATTTTTACAAGCACTAGATTATGGTGTTTGTGATGCTATACTCAATGGTCCCTACATTCCGATGAGAACAACAAAATCTGGAGTTGTTTTAAAGACTTTTTACCATAAGAGTGTCCATTATGATGTAAGAGCCTGAAATACTATTGTTTCTGCCTTAACTCGTAATGAATTTTTCAGGGTCTCACAATGCAAGACGGCAAAAGAAATATGGGACACTCTTGAAGTAACACATGAAGGAACAAATGAAGTAAAGCGAGCACGTAATAACACACTCATCCAGGAGTATAAATTATTTCAAATGCAGCAAAATGAAAGCATCACAGATTTCCAGACACGCTTCACACATATAGTAAATTCACTTGAAAGAATTAGGAAAGATTTTTGACAATGTGGAGTTGAACACAAAGATCTTGAAATCCTTAGACAAGAATTGGCAACCAAAGGTCACTACTATTACAGAATCAAAGAATCTCACAGAAATGAATATTTCTACTCTATTTGGAAAGCTGTGAGAACATGAGATGGAGCTACAAAGGTTAAAGAATGGTGAACAGAATCAAGCCAAGATGATAGCTCAAAAAATCGAAAAATCTTCACAAGACGAAAGAGAAAATGAAGGTAAGTTTTCAGATTCCGATATGTCTCTTTTTGTTAAACAATTTTCTTGCTTTATGATGAATAGGAAAAAGAGACAGCAAAGAAAGGAGAAAACAAATAAATACCATTGCTATGAATGTGGAAAACCTGGCCATATCAAACCAAATTGTCCGGAAGTTAAGAAAGATGTGAAGAAAGGGAAGAACGGTATCTATAAGAAAAAATGCAAAACTTATATTGCTTGGGAGGATAATGATTCTTCCACAACACAAGAGAGTTCTTCCGAAAGCAGTGATGAAGAAGAAGAAGCAAATCTTTGCTTGATGACAAAAAGTGATGATGAAGTCTCATCACAGGTAAGTAGTTCAAAATCCTAAAATGAATATGATGAGTTGTTTAAAGAATATCAAGATATGTATAAAGGTTTTACCAAGTTATCTAAGAAATACAATGCACTTAGACAAAAGTTTAATTCATTTGAAAATACTGTTGGTATTCTTGAAAAAGAAAATAAGTGCTTAAAGAAAGATGTTGAGAAATTTAAAACTTTGTCTAAAAATAAAGAAGTTGCTAAACCTTGTGAAAATTGTAATCATTTGGAAAATGAGATTTTCAAGTTAGAGAAAATAATAAGCAAGTTTTCAAAATCTTCTGAAAATCTTGATTCTATATTAGGTTATCAAAGAGGGAATTCTAGCAAAACTGGACTTGGTTACAAACCCAAAGAAAGTCTAGAACCTTATAAAACTATTTTTGTGAAAGAGTAAAGGAAAACAAATGTAAAACCAGTTTCAAAAAATTTAAGAAACTCATTTAGACCTTTTCAAAGAAAATCAACATGTTTTTATTGCATGAAATTAGGTCATACATCAAATAGATGTTACATAAAACATTTTGGCATATCTAATGGAAAATATGAATGAGTGCCTAAAGGAACAAAGCATTTATACATGTGTAGATGATAGTTTGAGCATCTAATTGATTATCAGAATCGGAAATTTTTTCCTTGTTGTCATAATCAATTATGTTGATTCTGAAAATGTTGTGATAATCGATTATTATATCATGGTTATATTCTTTTAATCCTTAGTCTTTTGGCAGAGACTTGTGATTCTACTAACCTTTTTAAGGATCCAAAAATAATTAAAGGGTACCTAGATTTGTATGTTGATGTTGCAGGTAATTATTAAGGATAAGAAATTAATGCAGGTTATTGAAGCTAAATGGGTGTACAGGAACAAGTTAGATGAACAGGGAAATATTACAAAGATAAGTTTATAATTGTCTCTGAAACCTCTATATTGAATATTTGCACTTGTCTGTCACATAAATTTGATTGTTGACCAACTTTGAAATTTGAAAGTTTTAATTTTGAAAATTTGAATCTATGTAAATTTGAAATTATTAAAGTTTGAAATTTTGCAGTTTGAGATTCTTGAAATTTGAAATTTTGCAGTTTGAAATTTTTTAAATTTGAAATTTTGTAGTTTGAGATTTTTTTAAATTTGCAGTATGAGATTTT